TTTAAAGCAAAAATAGCTATCTACAATTGTTGATGAGTAGAAAAGGTATGTAACTCATTGTTTCCAATGATGCCAAGATTTTACTAGATTAAAAAAGTGTTTACACTAATTCATGGAGGAAAACTATAAAGGACTCCTCAGTTCCAAGATACAGCTTCTCTTTAGGACGTTTTAAAGCAACAGTGTGCTGGAAAACAGGACCGTATGTTGGGAAAGTGTGACCGAATACTTGTTGGCTTTCCATTTTTGCTGCCCATTTGCTACTGCCAAGGCAGGTATGACACTGCATTGGTTATTATTTAGAACCACTCAGCCAGTCTCATGCTGCTGTTTGTCTCACTAACTCTTCTTTCTAGTTATCAGTCCAGTACAGTATGGAGGAAACACCAGCAAATGTATAAAATCTCTTAGCTGTACAAATAAGTTATTTATAGCTTATGGAGTAAAATTAGTCCTACTGCCTTACTTAAATCCTTTTTATTTTTCCTAGTCAACCTGCATAAATTTAGAGATCAGTCCTGTTGTCATGCATTGCCATGCATTTGGCTTTATGCATGCAGTATGAATGGCTTTATTGGAAAAAATAAAAATAAAATTTAAAAAAATGTCCTAGTTGAACTTAGAGGAGGAAATTCCAATGGTCTTTTCCATGACTTTTCTACACAACTTAAAAGATAAATTTTGTGACTGACATTACAGACTCAAACAGGTTATTGGCATATAAAATCAAGTTTTCTGTTTTTTAAAAATTGTGAAAGTATGATTCACTGTTTTAATAGAAATTTAGGATACCTCAGAAAGAATTGTGTTACCTCTTGACTGATCTAATTTTATCGCATATTTAAAAGCGTATCTTCCAATGAAGAGACTGCTTTCAACTGCACAGCTTGTTCATTTGTATACAGGTACTATAGTGTATTTTGCTCCAGACTTATGCCTCAATCTTCATTCTCTGTGTCCTTAGCTGTAATTACCCCATAAATTACACTGAAATCTCCAGGAGTAACCTTCCTATCCAAAATGATATTTAGTTTTTATTTATTGCTCTAAGAGCAAAAATGAGACTAAGGAATGTGAGTAGACACAAATTCCTGATCACACATCTCCAAAAGAGGTTGAGCAGCAATTATGTTCTGTATTTTGCCCTTTGAACCAGTACTGCCTTTTTCTTTAGTTCATTTATCTAGTCTAAGTCTCTGAGGTGAGGAATAGGTTTGATATTGGCTTAATATCAATAGGACTCATTCATCCCCTGTGATGATTTATTTTGCTTGGGATTGCCTTCGCTTTCCACTATGTCATCTACATGCTTATACACCTTAAACGTCAGTACCCCAGTATATATAGATGTATTGTCTGAAATGGTACTTTCTCAAACCTTCAAATTTTATAATACCCTCTTTGCCAAAAGACAGACTCTTAGGACACTGTCCTTAGAATGTTTTTACAGGATTGAGAGCAAGTTCCTGCAAACTTTACATGTTACCCTATGCTACCTTTTCTTGTATTCAGTCTGCTCTTATAACAGCATTTCCTCTGTGATTTTTAAATGGCTAACTTTGCATATAGTGTATGCTTAGATGTTACTGAAATTATGCAGGGCGTGGAGATGTTTGATGCAGAACTTGTAGTGTTTTGAGTCATATCATTAAATCAATGTTAACTGTCTATTTTTATCTTATCTGTTACCTGCCCTTTTTCTTTTTCTCCTGTGAGAAGATTCATGCAACTTTGAGCAAGTAAATCAGACACATAAATCCATCAGGAAGTGCAGAGGAAATTAGATGAAATCAAGCTTTGCTTTAGATTAGTTGTGGAGACCAAATCTGTAACATTAGGCACCAAACATATGATGCTATTTTGAATAACAAAGATATTCCCAGGTTTTGATTAGGAATCAATCTTTGTAGTTTATTGAATCAGGCATTTAAAGGAAAGGTGACCAACCTCTTCAGCTAATGTATTACATACACTGAACTTTTTAAATGGCACGCGTATCTTTAAGAGTTAGTATTTTCATACAATGAAGTATTAGGAAGTTTATGAATGAATGAATGTCTGTATATATAGTCATCTGCACTGAAAGGTATGAGAAACATCTGTTTCTCTTGGTAAGGTAAAGTTTGAAAATATTTTGCAGGTATTTTAAGGGTGTCAAGATTTTAAAAAGGAGAAGAGAAAAGATCTTTGAAAAATGAGAGGGGAATTTGGAACATCAAATTCATTGTTCCCAAATTTCTTGGGAAAGGGGGATATGTAGAGATGCAACATGAAATTGAGTGTAGATAGTTTAGTTGCAGGTAATAGATATACAGACACTTGGGATAGGGAAAAGTGGTAGTGAGGGAAAGAATTTGCTACTCTGTTACCACTTGGAATCTAAAAAGTTTCTGGACCTACAGTAATATTTCAGGAAGTGACTATATCCTTTAAAAATTATTACATGTCATTAATTTTCAGGGCTGCCCTGAATTTTTAAGTGGAATTTATTCACAACATTCTGGGTTTAGGGGTTTTTTTTCCTGTTATGGTTATGGAAAACCTTTTTTTTTTTCTCAGTACAGTAGCTCAATTTTGTCAGTCTTTTCCAGTTTGTTCAGAAGATCTGTGATAAAAATTCCTTTTGCATTTTACTAGCTCAGAATATTTAAAAAAAAAAAAACAAACGAGTGTGCTGGTTTTGAGCTCAATTGCAGCACAAGGTCTCATTTATTCTATGAACCAATCATCCTAAAGAACTTGAACCCTTTGTGTTGCAATGGAAGTTCAATGAAGAAAGGTTATTTATTAATTTAATACAACAACTGAGAATAAGTTTTTTCTCACGTAACACTTCTTCCATATAACTTTTGAAGCAGATGCAAAGCCCATGGAATATTACACATCATTAATTGATCTCTTCACTCCTCACCAAAGCTGCTTTGTGTTGGCAATTTTGTACATGTTCCCTGGTAATGTTTGTCTATAATTAAACTCAACGCCAGTCACAACATGAGTGTAGAGGTTGATTTTGTCAGCTCTCCAAGGAATCGCATTGGAAAGGAACTTGGGAGTTGATGATATGTCTCTCCGTCTGTTCTCCAGAAGGATTTGCAAATACTGCCCATGTTAGAATCCATAAGAAATAGATCTTTTATGAAGGCATTAAAATGTGGGGTTTTGTGGGATAAATGAGTCTATACATTTTGTCAGAGGTACAGAAACTGCTGTATTGAATTTGACAGTACTGTAGTCCTATGCCAGATGGGGCTACATGAAGGGGAAAAAAAGTCCATTATAAAAGAACCATTTTCTCAAAAGCTTTGAGTGTCTTTCACCCCAAACAGGTTGTAGTTTCTGTGCTTAAGCAGAATAAATGTTGTCTATCATGTGTTAGGGTCCTGTGTCCCCCCACTCCCCTCAGCCTTTTCACATAACATAAAAAAATCCCCTACTGAGTAATCCCCTATGATCTGTCAGGCCCAGCAGTGGTAAAGGGAGATGCTGTATAAAGATCAAGCACATGAGGCCATGGCTGCCTTTTGCAGTCTGTTCCCTTTGTATTTCTCCAATATCCTAAGTCAGACTATTAGGGATGATGGGTAGTGTATCACTGCCTAGTCATTTTAGTATCCATGTATAGACCTATTGCCCACAAGTTCATGCAGCCTCTTTCTGAACCTGCTGACACTGTCTATCTCCACAACCAGGATTTTCTGTTAGGAAGATGCAGAATTGCTCTGCCTCTTGTGTATAGAAGTACTTTAATCTATCGTGTTTTTAAATCTTCTGTTAGTCCCATCAAGTATACCTAGTTCTAGTATTACAAAGTTTTGTTAATAGCAGTTCAACACGATGTTGGATATATGGGTAAGGCAGAATTTTGTATGGCAACAGAATTGTTGTAAATAATCATTATTCTGTGTATTTTGTATTCTGTTAAAGGTTTTGATTTGATGATCTTAAGGGTCTTTCCAACCTAAAAGATTCTATAATTAAAAGTGAAAAAAAAATGAGCCATTGTTGTGTTGTTTATAGGACTGTTACTGAGCAGAGTGTTTCGATGTGCAGTCTGCAGTGACAATAAATCTTTTTCCTGCCTGTTTAACTACTTCAGAAGCCAGAATTTTATTCCAAAACAGACATGATAAATGCATTTATGTTGTAATTATAATCAAGGAGTTGAAGTTATGATCACTTTAATTGTAGTTTAGTTTCTCTATTGCTCATTTTCCTATTGTGAATCAAGCTTTAAAGTAGAAATGTTAGTTTCTCGTTAGAATATAACATTTAAAAATGCAGAGCTATTTAGAGGGAGAAAATCCTGCTGACAACCAACGTAATATGCGAATGAAGCAGTCGGAGAATGGAAATTAAATGACAGCCTTTATGAGAAACAGGAAATTAAAGCTATGGATTCACTGCAATAGAGAAGGCTCTGTGTTAAGGGAGCGATGTCTCCCTTAAGACATTTCTCCTTTTAGACCACGAGGCATCATTGTGTAGCAATATACCAACTGTTAACAAAGCAAATTACAAGTGATCAAGTATTCAATATATTTGACATTCCACTTTTAAACATTTTGTAGTCTTGAAACGAGGATATGACATTGAGCACTTGGTTCTCTTCAAAAACATTGTGTAGCCATCTCTGTTATTGATCCTTCACTTCCTTTTCATTCCAGGAAAAATAATAGAGTGTACCTAGAAATAAATGATAAGCAGTGAAAATTTTTTTTATTTCCTCTCTTATACTTCTATATGTGTATGAAGTTTTTTGGGTTTATTTTGATGTCTGTTACAGCAATAATGATCGTTTCTAACTGTAGCAAAGCTGATGTATCTGGTTTGAGTCACTTCAATGAAAAGCCCTTTTAGTTGACTTTTTGGGATCAAATGCTTGTGGACTGGAACTTAACAGCTTTACAAATATTTACTGACTGCATGTTTCAACGGACATCACTCTTCTGTAGGAGTTTGTGACTGTGTGTGCTGAAAATTCTAATGTTCTCTTATTGCAGCTTCTGCAAACAAGACAAGTTGCCCATTACGTTCCAGTCCTGTGTGATCACAAAGGAGTGCCAGGTGTCAGAGTGGTCAGAATGGACCCCCTGCTCCAAAACCTGCTTTGACATGACAACCCCTAAAGGGAATCGTACAAGGTCACGGACCATTAAACAGCTCCCTGTGGGCAGTGAAAGTGAATGTCCACAATTAGAAGAAACAGAGCAGTGTGTTTCTCAAGGAGATGGTGTGGCACCGTGCATTACGTAAGTTGGTTCATTTCAGTTCTCCCTGTACTAAAATGAAGATTTTCAATTAAGTGTACAGAGCTGGTGATGGAGTATCAACCAGATCGTTATTAAAGATATTATAGGTTCAGTGCTTTTAAAAGCCAGAAGTCTTCAAATAGCTGCTATTATAATGAACTCACTTCTTCCTCAAAATACAGGAAAAATAACAAATACATATTTTTTCATTAATGGTAACTTTTGAAAGAGAATGTTTGTGCATATGCAGGCTCAGTCAAGACCATAATAAATTAATTATATTAATTTGTCAGTGATCTTTACCCTACATAATATTTATACCAGAATCACTGTTTTTGGAAGTACTTGTCTGCAGACAAAATGCTGAACATTTGAAAGAGTTGATAAACATCTCTTAGGAATCAGACATTTTTAGTGTGACACTTATTCAGCACAACAAAGGCAGGACTGGGCCCCAGATAAAAAGTGGGAGAGGCTAACAGCGACAAGAAATAAATTAATCCTGTTTAAAGTTTAGGAGAAATGATAGCAAGCACTTCACGATTGAAGAGACTGCTGTAGTCCTTATCAACTAGTCCAGATTAATATTAAAGTCCCAACTGTGCTTTTTCTTTATCAGACAAGGAGACAGTCTGGAGAAATCATTTTATTTTAAGCATCTTTGACTGTGGCACATATCTTCCATTTAAGAATTGAAATGTCATCTTTCCCCATCTCCAGCCACATCAGGAAGCACTTTGCTTGATTTACCCTTAAAGTACTCGTTGGGTAGAGAATTCTGTGGCCTGTCTTGTGGTTCGTAATCCTGATTAGGGTTTTAACTGGGAGTCACAGATCTTCTTTCCTGTGCATTCACTGATTAGCTCACAGCTTCTTATCATTCATCAGTACCCAGCAGGGATGCTTCAGTACTGCAGAGTTATCTTCCTCTTGACAATGAAAAAGGAACATACTGAAAGGCTTTTCTGAAGTAATTATAAAAAAATACAATTATAGTTTTACCTTGATATTCAAGAGAAACTTCTGTTTCTCTTATCAAAGATGAGAGGCTTGGGTTTGGTTTTGGGGGGTTGGGTTGTGATTTTTTTTCCTTCTCCTTTTCTGGTTCTTATGTTTCTCAGCATGCACATTTCTTTGATATTTTGGTTTTGGTTCAAATAAATTGTCTAGCTCTAAACAAATGCCAAGAGCCACAATCTTGAAAGTTAGCTTATCTTAACACAGACTATATGTCTCTGTATCAAGTTTCTCTTCAATAAAATATTTATATGTGCAGTATGTTTCAGAAATTGAACAGAAGAGATTTTTCTAAAAAGTAATGATTTCAAAGTGAAATAATAGAGGAAAGGTTTTCACCCACATGAAATATTAAACTTAACACATCTCTGTGTACAAGAAATTGCAGGGCTTAGGCCTTTTAGAAAAACAAATAACTACTAAGCTGTTTCAGCATGTATAACAATGCGGTGCAAAATAGCTTCATGATTTCTAAAGACCCAGTTAACCAAATTTGATCCAGGTATGGTTGGCGGACCACAGAGTGGACAGAATGCCGTGTCGATCCTCTCCTTAGCCAACAGGACAAGAGGCGAGGAAATCAGACAGCACTGTGTGGAGGTGGCATTCAAACCCGGGAAATGTACTGCGTGCAAGCAAATGAAAATCTCCTCTCCTATTTAAATACCCTCAAGGAAAAAGAAGGTAAATTTTATTCACTTGCAATTGAATTACTGTGAAATCAGAGCAGTTCTGCATTCTCTAACTCCTTGACAGCTATTGTCTTCTGTCATGAGTGCCTTCTTACCTTGCTGGTTACTGTTAGTTTCTAGTTCAGATGAAAATACCTAATTGCAGTCACAGTACTTCATTCTCTGTTCTGGAATATTGGTTCCTAGCTACAAATTAATATTTCTTAGTATCTACTAAAAAACATTGTCTTATGTGAAGGATGTCTTTCAATAAAAAAGCTCATGTGAAGATGGTTCAGAAATCCTCGATTCGGTTCCTTCCTCCACTGTAAATTTCCTGTGTGTCCTTCAGCTTTGTGATGAACCTGTGCAGCTTGATGTGCAGATGGAATATGTTAATTCTGTCATGTAAGCTCAATATAGAAATACATAAAAATATGACAAGATTTCATTCTTGTTTTCTTGATTTGGTCAAGTTCTTAAGTTGCGTTCTGCACTTCAAGACACTATAATTTCATGGATTTGTTTCCCTAACTGAAAGAGAGAAGAGATTATCCCTTGTCACTATTACAACTTTTACAGCTTCTTAAGAAAAGAGAGAATAGCTCAGGAGACAAAACTATTTTTAAAAAAATCGTTTGGTAATATACGTATGTAGGAACAACACATGAATATTTTAAATCATGACTACTTCTGCACACTAATGCAGCACTATAGATTTAGAACTTAGTGAAATAATTAGTTCACAATTAATTTATCTTGTTAATTAAATTTCAGCCTCGTCTGCAGCTGTTTCATGTGAACACACATCATTATAAATAAATAAATAAATCCAGCCTCATACTTGAGGAAAAGTGACAGCATTATAAAAGTCATGTGTACTACAACATTTAGACCAGCGCTGACCTAGCTGCAGGCTAGTGAGGTTTCTGCTTTTGTTTAAAGGTACTTTTAAACTTGCCACAGAGGTAGAGTTTGTGGGGAATATTAATGCCAACATCCGTTTCAGCATGACTGCTTGGATCAGTAGGGTGTGACTTGTGTGCTCTGTGGGCTCCACATCTGTATTTATTAAAGAAGCAGCTTTCAAGCCTCTTCATTTAATGCAAATCAGCTTCCACCCAAGGGCTTTTAGTAAATTGCCTCTGCTGAACAAAGTTTAGATGCCCTTGCCTTAGAGTAAGGGAGTAAAACCTCTCAGCTCTAAGGAAGAGGTAACAATAAAATCAGTGGCAGCTTACTGTTCAGAATGATGATTAGGATTTTGGTAGGCTGTGAAGTCTTGCCAGCTTAGGCGGGTGTGAAATCTGCCCTTATCAGACTGTGACAGGAATACGCGGAACCCTTCAGGAGGTAATCTCTACAGGCCGCAGAAAGCTGATTAAAATGTAACTAGTCTTTGGATGCATAAACATGAGAACAATTTTTCAAGAGCTCAAACTAGGGGTGAAGTGGGTCTTAGTTTAAAAAGGAGCTCTGGGGTGTTCCATATTAGGAGACAGATTTTCAGAAGAGCTGCTTTGACACTCATCCTCCCTTTCTCTTCCCTTCCATCTTGGATTTAGTGTAGGCCAGAGCTGCTCTTAAGGCCCTCCTAGGAACAAGCAAATCAGTGCCTCTAAAAACAAAGCCGTTTAAAAACTATGGCTAATTTGAAGATGGAAAAAACCCGGAAGAGACATCTAACAGTTTTAGCTGTGGGGAAATGCCTTTGTTTCGGTGTAGTTTGCTGTTTGTAAATGCTGTCTCGGTAAGGCTGCTTTGAAGACCTCCGTTCTCATATACTCATGGTGGCATTTCCCTGTTATTTCAGAAAGTCAGTCACAGAGCAAGTCGAAGGCTAGTGCTGCACCTCTGCTATCAATTACTTTTGAAATAACAGGTAGGTAAATTAAGACCTCTGACCTGGCCTTTCAATCAAAAGCATGCAAAGGAGGCAATATCCCTTTTGGGGGAACTACATTGGCAGTATGTGAATAATTAACATGCTTATATAGCTCTGAAAAAGTTTAACAGATTTGTACATTCCCAGGAAATTTCAGTTCAGTTTCAAGGTGACAGGCCTAAACTCAATGAAGCTCTTGAGCCAGCTAGGATTCCAGGACAGTTCCCTGCTCCATTCCTGAACTGTTTTAGCAAGTGACTGATTTTCCTCTCGACTCTGAGTGCTGGGAATTGCTTCATTGTGTTCATCACAGCTGCTATTTCCAGTCCCTTTTGTACATTTAAAACATCAAGTTGAGGCTTCAGTAAGAATTTTAATTTTGGAACATTGACAGGCTGGAGAGGTGGG